ACTGTGTGAGCTCGAGGAGGGCGACAGGGAATGTGTAGATAAATCAAGTAAGTGGCCCTGCTGTCATGTGGCTTGGGGTCTAGGGGGGGGCCAGGCTCAAATGCACATAATAACGCAGGTGTGAATGAAGAAGGGCATGTACAGACTGGGGCTTAGTGAAGAAATGCCAGGTCTCAGGTTTCCACGTTGGGAGGGTTTGGAGCTACAGGAAGGAAATCCCAGAGTCTCCAGGTCCTGGAGAAATGAGCACCCTGGATGGAAAGTTTCACCTTTACATCCCATCTTAGGAGGTAGAGACCAGAACTAGAGTTCTCGTATGAAGAGCCTGGAATGTGCCATACATGCATCGTATAGGTTGATTCATACATTTCTTCCCCTCCCCCCAAATTCGTGAGTTTGAGCCCCACATAGGGCTCTGCACGGATGGTGAGGAGCCAGTTTGGGACTCTGTCCCCCTCTTCCTCTGCCCCTCCGACACATGCACTGTCTCCATCTCTCTCAAAATGAATAAGTAATAAACTTAAAAAAAAAAAGACTATAGTGTATTTGTTAGAAGTACCACCTGGATTTAAATCTGGAATCTGGTTCCGCCATCTATTAATGTTGTGACCTCAGGGAAGTTATTCTATAGCCATGTGCCTTGGTAGTTTTTTTCTTTTTCATTAATAAAATGGAATAAAAATAGAACTTCAATAAAATGGTTATTACAAGGCATGTAGTAAAAAATCTTGCACCACCTTTATTTTTATTTTTATTTATTTTTTAAAAATATTTTTTATTTATTTCTAGGAGAGAGAGAGAGAGAGAGACAGCGTGAGCAGGGGAGGGTCAGAGAGAGAGGGAGACACAGACTCTGAAATAGGCTCCAGGCTCCGAGCTGGCAGTCAGCACAGAGCCCGACGCGGGGCTCGAACCCATGAACCACGAGATCATGACCTAAGCGAAAGTCGGACGCTTAACCGACTAATCCACCCAGGCGCCCCTATTTTTTAAAAATTTATTTCTGAGAGGGAGAGACAGAGAGTATGAGCAGATGAGGGTCAGAGAGAGAGGGAGACACAGAATCTGAAACAGACTCCAGGTTCTGAGCTGTCAGGACAGAGCCCCACGCGGGGCTCGAACCCACAAACCGTGAGATCATGACCTGAGCCGAAGTCAGATGCTTAACCGACTGAGCCACCCAGGTGCCCCCTTGCTTCGCCTTTAAAAGTGTGTATACAGGGGCACCTGGGTGGCTCAGTTGGTTGAATGTCTGACTTTGGCTCAGATCGTGATCTTTTGGTTTGTGAGTTCAAGCCCCGCATTGGGCTCGCTGCTGTCAGCACAGAGCCTGCATCAGATCCTCTGTCCCCCTCCTTTTCTGCCCCTCCCCCGCTTGCGCTTTCTCAAAAATAAATAAAAACATCTAAAAAATGCATACACAAGGCACTGATGGGCTTAAGTGTCACCATCTGGACACAAGGGATTTAGGCTTAGTGATGGCCAAGTTTCCTTTTGAACTGAGTGTCGGCTTCTTGTTGACATGCTTTAGTTGCATCATGCAGGAAGGCGGAGAGCAAAGACCGAAACTGAGTCAGCACAGCTGAGGCTGTGGAGGAGGAGGCGGAGGCGGGAGGAGGGAGAAAGAGCGTCAGGCCGGTTCCCACTTGCAATCCCCTCGCGGGGCCTGGGCCAGGGATCCTCCCGCAGGTGTTCCTGGGCCCCAGGGCCTTGGGCTCCTCTGGGGAGGGGGAGGGCAGTTGCTTGGCTCAGCTGTGACCCCAGCTTCTGCCGGGCCGCCGAGCGGTCCTGGACCTCATCAAAGGAAGCTCTGAAATGTTTACTTCTCAAGAAACACAATTTTGTTTTGAGTTGTGTGGCCTTTATTGTACAGCACAGGTGATCGTTGACCACAACCAGAGATTTATTATGCAAGGATCCAGTTGTGGCAGATAGCGTTTTTGAAAGTAACTTGTCAAGAAACGTAACTTTCTAATCACAAGAAATAACATATGCTGATTTTAGAAAGTTTGGCAGATACAGGGAAGTATGGAAAGAAAATAAAAATCACTTGCAGTTTCATCAGCCAGAAATAATTACTGTTAAATTATTATTAAAAAAAAATTTTTTTTTTACATTTTAGAGAAAGAGAACACAAGCAGGGGAGAGAGAGAGAGGGAGAGAGAGAGAGAATTCCAAGCAGGTTCAACCTGGAGCTCGATGTGGGATTCAATCCCATGACCCTGGGATCATGACCTGAGCTGAAGTCAAGAGTTGGGCATTCAACTGACTGAGCCACTGAGGCGCCCCTATAATTATTTCCTGAAAAAACTTCTCTAAAAGCCGTATGATTGGGTCAAAGGAGATGGATATTAAAAGTATTAAAAAGACACCGTATTGAGCCCCACATAGGTAAAGGTAAATTTCACTCTCCGACCTTTACATCTAAAAGGAACATTAGTACAATAGTTCCAACCTCTCCCTCCTTTTTACGTTGCAGGAGCCTGAGGCCCGGAGAAACTAGGTTTCTCGCTGATGATTAATGCTGAGCCCTGGAGTGTGGCTTAGAATCGACTCCAAGATGAACTGAATTCTCTTTCCCACACTGTCACCTTCTTTTCTCCTACATCCATCAACTGAATGTAAGTGATTTGATATTGAATTTTCTGCTTGGATATACCTTAACAGTCAGTATTAAGGATTGTGTCACTTATACTATTTGGTTGTGGTTTAACTCTGCTTAAACCACAGACTTAAACTCTGCTAAATTCTGCTTAGTCCTGCTTTACCCTTTACTTTTTTACTAACATCATTAGTGTTAGCTGTTTATTTTTTTTACCCCTGTAAGTTTGCATCTTAGTAGAAATTTCATGTGAGTGGTTTTCCATTATAGACTATCATTTTTTTAATTTTTTTTATTTTTAGGAGAGAGAGAGAGAGACAGCGTGAGCAGGGGAGGGTCAGAGAGAGAGGGAGTCACAGACTGAAACAGGCTCCAGGCTCTGAGCTGGCAGTCAGCACAGAGCCCGACGCGGGGCTCGAACCCACGAACCGCGAGATCATGACCCAAGCGAAAGTCGGACGCTTAACCGACTAAGCCACCCAGGCGCCCCTTACAGACTATCATTTAATATAAAATTTCTTCTAGACTGAATTTTAGGCTTCTCAGACACCAGATATTGATAAGTTGGGCACGAAAGCATGTTAAGCTGTTGGATTCTTGAAATGGACATAGTTTGGGTGAAGGGTTCTACATCCGGGGTTTTGAATACATTTTTTTTCTATCTCAGTCAGAAACTCTAAGGTGAAGTTGCCTTAACCTTCCCGAGTCAGTGTCTCCACATGTGGAAAAGAGGTGATAGTCATCATTGAGCAGGTGGGGGCAAGGGGCATTATTGTGTGATTCTGTGAGTAGCTGGCAATGTGCACAGTCTTCTATTTCTCTGGGAGACACCAGAACTGTCATGTGCTTCAATGGGACTCATACCCACCAGCAGTGAAAAAAAAGAAACCACTGATGATTTGTAGGTATCTGGGGAGCGTACTCAAGAGTTTGTGGCTGAAATTTATCTTCTTGGAAGAGAAGAAAGAGGGAGAGACAGACAGACAGAGTAATTTTAAGCATGCTATAACAAAGCTCCTTTGAGAAGCTCCTGGGAGTGGCCGGGTGTGTCAAGCCCTCCCTCAGTCAAAATGCTGAGTAATCAGGTTATAATGTTTGCCGTGTTTCAGCCTACAGGTAAGAAAAAACACCAAAAAAACAGTCTCCTAGGTTATTAAATATTTGGGCTGATGATTGCTTTTGTTGAACTAGAGAAAATTATGTTTGATAAAATTGTATGATGACCGAATGGAAACTTCATTCTTTAAGCTATGTTTCTTCTCTACCCCCCCCCCCACTCCAAATATGTACTCTGCAATGCACAGCAAATAACATGGTGTTTGTGGCAAATAAAAGGGAGAGAAGATTATAGATTATTTGGGGAATTATAGAGCAAATGGTGCTTCTTACAAACAGGTATTATTTTCCACTAAATATTTTCAATGAAATATTTATTTCCAACAGTCAGAATTATGCTTGGGCTTCCTTGGGATAGATATTAAATTCCTGTCATTGGAACTATTTCTTTTTTTCTTAAAAAAAATGTTTTAAATGTTTATTTATTTTGAGAGACAGAGAGACAGGGCCTTAACTGGGGAAGTGGGGGAGAGAGAGAGGGGGACACGGAATCCGAAGCAGGCTCCAAGCTCTGAGCTGTCAGCACAGAGCCTGATGAGGGGCTCAAACTCATGAGCTATGAGATCAGGACCTGAGCTGAAGTCAAATGCTTAATTGACTGAGCCCTCCAGGCGCCCGTCACTGGAAGCAGTTCGGTCCAGGTTTGACAAGCATTCAGTGAAAGTGTTACAGAGGGAATTCAAACACCAAAAGGGAAAGTGGACAAAGCTCTCTGATTTGAGCACAAGTCTCTTAAAATCTTTGGGTCACGGTGGCCAAGCAGACAGCAGCTGTTCAGTAAGTTACTGTAGTGAATGAGATGTGTATAGCCTGCACCAGCCTTTTGGCCATTCTGAGCCCGTGTCTACTTGAGGAATAGGCAGAGTGGTAAAACCACATCCACCAGCATTAGGGAGCACACCCAAATGCCAGACACTTCACATGCGTTGTGTCTTCAGGTACACGTGTGTCTCATTTCACAGATGAGGACACTGAGGCTGGAGAGGTTAAGCACTTTGTCTAGCCTATGTCAAGCATTGAATGGTATGGTAAGTTTCTAAAATGTGTGACTCTGCCCCTAAACCCACTACAGCTGGGGAGTGTAATTTTTGAGAGGCTTCCTGCCCACATCAACCTCTTATGACCTTCTTACCTCCAATTGCACTTGTGATGCTCCTTTCAGAGTTCAACTCATTTGGTTTATGACTTTGATCCTGGTTAATAATCACCAGGGATTGGGGGAAAGGAAGCTCTCAGTCAAACTTAGTTTAGCAAAATGAGGTGCTCTCACTCATTTAGACAAGCATTTATTGGCTGCATACTGTGTATCAAGTCCATAACAAGTTGGTGTTACAAAAATGAATGGGGCTTGGTGATTCATCACTAAGGTTCTCTATATCTTTATCATTAAGATTCTTGTAGTCAGAAAAGACTGTACAATAAATAGATGCTAAGGGTAAATGAACCATAGGGAATCTTAGGTGAGCACAGTGGAGAAACAAATGGCTGAGTCTCAGGTACTTTCCAGAGAACAGATTTGATAGGATGGGTGTAGGTCCCACTGAAAGAAGGAGCCGCAGGAAGGCAGGAAATCTGGAATGTGCAATGAGTAGGCTCCACAGAGAGCAAAGCTGCGTAATCTTAATCATTGGGAACTTCATCAAGCATTTTCTATCAATTTGGTATTACATACTTTGCTAAGCATTCTTTGCTTAATTCCTATGCCTTCTTCTTTTGTGATCGCCATTCTGTTAAATAGGGAGCACCTCTTTGGCATCTAGCAGAATGAGCTACCCCCGTTTACATGGAAAGGTGGAGGCTAGGGAGCTTTTCGGGCGCCACCCTATTTGAGAACATGAATCATTACGACTGTCACCTATTCCTTTACTTCATATCATATTTCACCTTCCGGTCCCACGTGGCTTACCAGGCCTGCCCTTATGAATGTATGTACGTATTTAGCCCGAGGCAGGATCCACCAAAGCCCTTCCTGCCCCAGCATGTCGGAGGCCTTTGGAGGCTGTGCAGACAACAGCAACTTCAGCCTGAATCATTTTCTTTTCAATCATAGACCAGCTGCCAAGAGGCGTGAGTAAGAGCCGGAGTGCAGGCTGGGAGTGGTCACAGAGGGAGTGGTACCCGCTCGGGGAGCCAGCCCTGCCTCTGCCCCACGGAGGGTTGCTCCTACATCAAGGTCTTTGGGAGGCTCTCGTGTTCCTTTCCCCTGCTGTGCGTTTTCCAGGATAACTGTGACTTCAGGTGAGCAAAGCGCGGGAGCAGGGCCAGCGGTTTCCCTTTTCAGGGAGATTCTTGAAACAAAATAATTATTCGCGCAGATTCAAGGTGGTGAGGCCAGTCGCCATGATGGTTATTGTCAAGGTTAGGCTGTGGGCTGTAGGGCTGCCACAGGGGCAGCACTTTGAGCTCTTGGTGCGTTGGGAACCAGGAATGCCAGGTAGGGAGCAAAATCGCTTAGTGGGATGAAGTCTGAATGTGAAGATGGAACGTGGCTAGGAGGTTTGGGAGGTGGTGGTGGGGAGGCAGCGCAGCAGTGATTTCCGGAGGAGAAAGTATTTCTGAGGATATTTTCAGCCGTGCCTGGGAATTCAGAATGAATTTTGTAACACTAGTTTCAGGAAGGGTGAGGTGCTAAAAACCTGGAGAGACTGCGAAGGCGTTTGAGAGTCTGGCTCACCTACCTGGTTGAATGAGCGTTTAGTTCTTTTTGGCATTTTAAAGCGTCCAGTCACTGTTCACTTACTAGCAACCACGTTCTTCTGGGCGGAGAGTATTCTCTCTCCCTATTTCAGGGTTTCAGGACAGTTGAAACAGTTTACATATTTCAAGTATGTGTTCTTCCTTTTTTTAAAAAAAAAATATTTATTTTTGAGAGAGAGAGCATGTGCCTGTGAAAGCAGAGGAGGGCCAGAGAGAGAAGGAAAGAGAGAATCCCAAGTAGGCTCAATGCCCAGCACAGAGCCTGACATTGGGCTCGAACCCATGGATCATGAGATCATGACCTGAGCTGAAATCAAGAGTCAGGCACTTAACTGACTGAGACCCCCCCCCGCCCCAGGCGTCCCTCCAATGTAAGTTCTTGGGCAACTTTTCAAACGGGCCAGTTCATGGTTTGTTCCTGATAGACACTATGGTTTTTACGGCTTTATTTAAGTGTATCATACTAAAGATCAATTTAACAAACTGGGCTGTTCGGCTGGCTTGTAATCAGATTACACAGAGATCTGCAGAGCTGAGGGGTTTAGCCACACTATGGCTCAGCCCTTTACTTGTGGATGACGAGTGGAGGTTCAGAGCTGAAGTGGTGTCCAAAGTCACAAGGCTTCTAAGTAGGGAGATGAAATAGAATGCAGGCCTTCAAACTCACAGCTTGTGGACTTTTCCACGACTCCACAGGTACCCTTAACTTTTCACCCCTACGTCACCAAAGAGGTTTTGAATAGAATCTGGTGTGTCCCAAGTCTCAGTCCCCACCAGTATTTGCAAGAGTTGGATGGGTTCCTTGATGGGTGGAGAGATGGAAGCCTGCCTGAAGAAAGGCATTCTTCAGATGACTCAGCAGTATATTTCTTTCCTTCCCTAATGCCTTCAATTCTGCCACTTTGATCCCTCTGCTTGACTTTGAAGGTATGCCGTCGATGCAATTTTGGTCATTCTGGTGCGGCAAGCCTGACTCTAGTTTACTGTTAGGCAGCAGTGGGAAGGCTCAGCGGTCAAGATCAGCCTTCTCAACAGAGTATCTGAGCACGGCAGAGGCTCCCCGCCATTGGCAATGAAGCCATTGACCTTATTACTAAAGCTGCGTTATCCCTTCCTGCTGACAAAGCACTTTTCACACACATCTACTCATTTCATGACTTTATTTAATCCTCATGATATTCTTTCACACTGCAGAAACTGCAAGATCTCCTATTTTCTTAATCCGGCTCTGACTTTTTCTTCTCGTGAATGCAGACAGCAGAGATTGGGTTTTTAGGCGTTCTCCACTGCAGTTATTACAGGCAAGGTTTGTCAAGACATTGCCTAGGCACTGGCTATCCCAAATACTTAGAGTTTTTTTTGTTGTTGTTGTTCACCACATTTTTCTTCATCTGTAAACTGAGGCAGGCTAGGCTAAATGATTTCCAAAATCACCTGACACAGTGAAAAATTAGTTGTTAAGGATTGGAAAAGCTATGTACATTGCCACGTGTGTGCATGTGTACTTATGCAGAGAAGAATGGATCTGTTGGTAGAGTGAACTTATCTTGTTCAAATACAGCATGTTTGAGAGGGAAAAGGGTGCTCTTGCTAATGTTAGGACAACAGAGATAAATCAGGACTGTCTCAGGCAAAATGGGGCATATGGCTGACCTGTCCATAAGGCCTTTATCTCATCCAGAATGATCTACAGATGAAAAGTTTACAGCCCATTGGCTTAGATGCATTAAAAACTTTAGGAATCTTGGGGTGCCTGGGTGGCTCAGTCGGTTAAGTGTCTGACTTTGGCTCAGGTTGTGATCTCATGGTTTGTGGGTTCAAGCCCTACATCAGTCTCTGTGCTGACAGCTCAGAGCCCTGGAGCCTGCTTTGGATTCTGTCTCCATTGCTCTTTGCCCCTCCCCTGCTCATCCTCGCACTCTCTTTCTCTCTCTCGAAAATGAATAAACATTAAAAAAATTTTAAAAAAAGAAACTTTAGGAATCGTTATGCAGGGGCCAGTGACCAGCTATAGGTCTAGAAAAGTGAGCACAGTGACCCTGCTTACATCCTAGAACATGTGCCTCTTCTCATTTGGGACTTACCTGCGGTCTCAGAATTGGGTCCGTTCTCTGTGGCACACATTTTGCATGACTAACTCCAACTTAGACTTTAGGACTCATCTTTGGTGGGACTTAGTTGGATGGACTGATTCTGAGGAGACCTCACTAAGATTTTCCTGTGAGTGAGCTGTCTCTCCCAAAGTATTTGTGCCCCATCCAAATGCTGACCGCACCATCATACGTGTCATGCCACATGACAGCTCCTCAGAGGCAGGAACCAAGTGTGTGTTCACCTGTGGCTCCTTAGTGTCTAGCTCGGTGCCTGACACACATTAGGTACTCAGCTCATACTTATTAAATGGGGGCAATATCAAATGAATGACTTACAATGTAAACAGCAGAAAGAGAACAGGAACTTCCTTGAAAATGGGAAAACAAAGTTTTTTGTTGATTTAAAAAAATATGCAAAGTCTCTTGGTATCTCAAAAGGGGGTAATTCAGCCCTTGTAGAATTTTTGGAACTCCGTAGGCCTGCGAGAGAACACATACCAGCAGAGGCACAATTACAGAGAAGGTAGGTGATGAGGTGTGGTCGGAAGTAACCGGCTGGCAGCTGGTGGAAATGAAAGTCCGGTTTTGCCACTTTCACCTCCCTGTGTGGGTGGCCCGGGACAGTCACTTCATCTCTGCCCACTCCCCTTTCCTCACTGTGACATGAAGAGGAGGAGCCAGACTAGATCCTTTCCAACATCTAGCCCCACGTTAAAGGTTTGTGATTTTAGGATATAACACAAACAACAGAGAACTCGCAATAAATTCTTACAACTTTTTGTTTGTTGCATTTGTATTTATGACTTAAATTTCCATCTCACTTTTCTCTGGTTAAAGCAAAAGTGCCTTTTAAACATTTAAGTGACTACAAGATGTAATGTTTCCTACGTTGGAGCTGTAATGGAAATTCTCCTTTTTGTTATAATTGTCAGAAGGTTTTCATGAAAATGACAGAAGTTCTCTCTGTGACCAAGTGAAAAGTAAAACAAAAAAATTGCAGTGATTTTAGCACTCTGAACACAGGTCATTAGACACGTACTTTTATCATTCAGGACTTGCTAACCTCTACTCCTGAACCCATACTTTTTATAGCATTAGCTGTGCAAAATGGTCCATGTAAGACCTGATGCATTTTCCTGGGCTTGTACTGGTAAATTGCTGGGATTTGTTTGCATGTTTTGTCTTACAGCACAGTGAGGTGGCAATCGGCTGTGGCCAAAGTCATCCGTTGGAACTACAGCAGACCAGATCGGCCTTAAGCGTTTTTAGGTCTGCTGGTACTAATCACCAAGCAGGTGATCAGATTTACCATGCACTATCTGATGGATTTCTTGCTTGGTGATTGTTTGCCTCTACAACAATTTTCGCGTACACACATTTTCTGCCTCCTTCGTCAAGCATCAAACAATGTTGCGTTCTCTAGGACCTCAGATATTAAGGCTGTATGACCTTCCCCAGGGCGTGGGAAAATTTTCTGAGAAGGAGCTAGTCAGCACACAGATAAGAAGGCACACCTATTTGGACTCATACACTGAGGCCTTTCATGCAAAGGAACAGACTCTTGAAAGGGAGGGTCTGCCCCTTTGGGAAAGCCTCCGCTGTTAGACCTGTACTGATTTACATTTTTCCATCAGGGACTGGAAATCTAAGCATTGAATTGCAACACGGTGTTAATTATATTGTGTAATCAACTGTACTAAAAACCACCATCATCTTGTACTTGCATAGAACCATTTAGACTAAATTTATCTTCAAATGCTGTAAAGGGTGAATGAATAGTGTTTCATTTGAACAATATGGTAAAATGAACATTTCCTTACCCTTTCATCCACTTCTAGACGTTTGCAGTCAAAATTCCCTTAACAGATTACTCTAAGGCCTTAAATACACAGAGGAGATCACACTTTAAAAGTAAAGTTTGTTATCGATTATGCAAAATTATTCTAATTTCTCTTCTTGGAGGGTAGGAAATACATGCTGGGAAGAACTACTGGTGTTTGTTCAAGCAGAGTTCATATGTTTTCATATTATTATTAACATGATTAGGCTTCAAGTTGTAAAAGCTTTGAGAAGTTTGCAGTAACTTGGGTTTTAGGCTTCTCTCTTGGTGAAGAAATAGCTCACTTAGGCATCTCTTTTTGATGGAGAAATGACTCATGTTGAATTTTAGTTGTTGATGAGCTCAGCACCATCATTGTTAAATTTGCTGCTGGAGAAAGCCAGACTTCATGTCCTGAGAGTCTGTTATGTGAATTCTCCACACCTTTTGTAGAGTTTTTAAAAAATTTCCTCCTGGTGGATGTACTGGTCAAAACACCCTGCATGCTTCCATTTCTGTCTCGTTTCCCTCCATACACCTGATGTTGAGCTACTTTGCCTGGGAGGGCACTGTCATCTGGAGCAGATCCCACTTCAGGGAGAGGAGAAGGTCTGGGGCCCCAAAGAAATGTAAGATTTAAGGTTATCTTGTAGTAGGTTTTTGGAACACGGACCTAAGTTCACTTAACTGTTCTTATTGGGGACATAAAACAAAGGACGAAGAAGTCATTGGAGATGACCAGCAAGCATGAATGGGTCAACAAAACATTTTTTTTTTTTGCTAATGAATTTGCTTTTACAGACTCTAAGATACATTTTAATCTTCTTGAATCCATCCTACATCCAAGCCACGTGTCCCATAAAAGGCAGATTCTGAAAACCAATTTCAAGAGCAGGGGCCCCTTCCTTGGTCTTCTTCTCCCATCTTTGAATTTTGAACTTGTGTTCAGGCATAAGGTACACAAGTGAGATCCTATCCATGCATTGACTCTAACACCTGTTTAGGTCCTGGTGGAAGGAAGCCCTCTGTCTTGAGTCATGATAGTTTGATGCCAGGGAGCAGGTCCTCTCAGAAATATTCCAATGTCAAGTTTGCTCTTTGTGTCTCTGTGTGTGGCCGCACAGTGCCCAATGGCTTTGGGAGATGCTTCAAGACTTGGCCTGTGCATTATCTGCCAGGGATAGTAATATCCTTCTAGGTCCCTTAGAAAATCCTGTCCTGGCTTAGGCAGAGGCTGAACAGTCCATGCAGCTCAGCTCTGGTCAAGAAAGGATTGTCCCTGCCTCTTTCAGTTAGGTGCCTTCAGGCTTGATCAGTAATGACTGGATTGAACAGCTAGGTAGACCATAGGTAGACCGTTTCTTAGAATAGCAGTTCTCAAACTTTGCAATTTCGAGATGCCTTTAAGCTCTTAAAAATTACCGAGGATCCCAAAGAGTTCTTTTTCTTTTTAAATGCTAATTATATCTATCGGTACTTACCGAATTCAAAATTAAAACTGGAGAAATTTTGAAATATTTATTTACTCATTTATTAAAAATAACAGTAATATAACCATTACCTATTAACACGAATAACCTATTTTTATGAAAAACAATTGTTTTCTAAAGGAAAAGGGGTGAGGCGGAAGAGTGACATTGTTTCTTCATTTCTTCAAATCGCTTTAACATTTGGTTTGATAAAAGACACATCACACAGACTTTAGAAAACTCTGCTGCGTATTTGTGACAGATTGACAATGGAAAGAAACAATATCTAAAAATTATGATGAAATTAAGACAATTATTTAATCTCTGTGCACAATAAGGGGCTCGACCTCACGACCCCCGAGATCAAGAGCCGCATGCTCCACCGACTGAGCCAGCCAGCTGCTCCTGAAAGTGGTTTTGACCTCACAGACCCACTGAAAGGGTCTTCGGAACTGCCAGGGGCCTCCGGACATCATTTAGAGAATAAGAATCCTCAGATAGGACTACGTGCCCGCTCACCATTGTCTCCACTTCCCCAGGCCCCATATTTTTAGCTGAAATCATTTTGAAATATTGAATATTTGAAATATTAAATATTTGAAATATTTAGCCCATATTATTTGTTACACTGCTCACATGGCACGGGAGCTGCACATTCCACTTGTCTACATATCTGCCTGCAGAGATTGCAGACTCAGAGGAGGAGGGACTCTGTTGATCCTTATAACCTTTTGTGTAGTGTCTTCCACACTGTAGGTGTGGTACTCACAACAAAAACATTAATAGCTGCATTTGTTGACTACTGCTGTGTTCTGGGTGCCCCCGAAGCATGACTGACTGTATGAGTCTCCTAGAGCGGTTACAACACAGTACCACAAATTGCGTGGCTTAAAACACTAGAAATGTATTCTCCCAGGCTGGAGAGGCCTGAAATCAAGGTATCGGCAGGGCCCTGCTCTCTCTGCAAGCCGTGGGGGAGAGTCTGTTCCATGCTTTTCTCTTAGCTTCTGGTGTTGCCAGTGATCTTTGGTGTTCCTTGGCTTCTAGAAGCGTCCGTTCACTCCCTGCCTCTGTTGTCATGTGGCCTTCTTCCTGGTCTTCACACCATCTTCCCTTTGTGCATGTCTGTCTCCAGTCCTTTCTCCTGCTTTTACAAGGATCTCGGTCATATTGGATTAGGGTCGCCCTAATGACCTCAACTTGGTTAAATCTACAAAGATCTTATTTCCAAATAAGATCACATTCACAGGTACCCAGGAGGGGGACTTCAACATATCTTTTTGGGGGACACAATTCAACCCATAACCCACAACACTTACTAAATATTAAATTGAACCATACAAACTGCTATGATTTGACTGCTTTTCATCTGAAAAAAATGTCAATTTTGTATGGTTTAACCTAAATCTTAATTGAAAAAAAATGGGTAAATAAAACCGACTGAGTTTTAAATTTATTTTAGAGGGAGAGAGAGAGAGAGAGAGAGCGAGCAAGCGAGCGAGCTTGAGTGCGGGCACGTATGCAAGCCAGTGGGGGAGGGGCAGAGAGCGATGGGGACAGAGGATCTGAAGCAGGCTCTGTACTGACAGCAGAGATCCCGATGTGGAGCGCAAACTCACAAACTGTGAGATCATGACCCGAACCAAGGTTTGATGCTCAACCGACTGACCCACCCAGGGTCCCCTAAAACCAACTGATTTTGATCAGTGCTGTCAAATGTTCTGTCTACTTGCTGAGGAAGAGGTGTGACTCCTGAGAATGGCCTCTGGGGCTGAGTAGGCCTGAATTTGGAGACTCTGGGCAGAGCTGGACACACAGAGGATCTCATGTACTTACTCAGACTTTAGGACATTTTCCCAGAGGTTTTTTCACCATAAGCTTTTAAAATTGCATTTACTCAAAGTTCCTTCCTCTCTTCTACCCACGACCATTACTCTGACTAGAATTCAGCTGCATTGGCAGAATGCAGTGGAGAACACCTTAAAGACACTTTAGAAATAACCTCAGCCTTGTGCTTTGCTCCAGGCCCACAATGGACGCTCTACAACTGGCAAATTCAGCTTTTGCAGTTGACCTGTTCAAACAACTGTGTGAAAAGGAGCCAGCGGGCAATGTCCTCTTCTCCCCGATCTGTCTCTCCACCTCTCTGTCACTTGCTCAAGTAGGCACCAAAGGTGACACAGCAAATGAAATTGGACAGGTAAGCTCCCTACCTTGTTTCTGCTTTGGATGGGAACAGACTGATCAGAACACAAAGACAGCGCCCAGGGAAAATGAATGGGGGCTCTTGGAGAAAATTACTCAGGATTGAGAATTATGCCATTTCCCTCACCATCTTAATCTATCTTAAATTTTTAAAAAATGTTTATTTATTTTTGAGAGGGAGAAAGACAGAGCACGAGCAGGGGAGGTACAAAGAGACACGGAGACACAGATCCGGAAGCAGTTTCCAGGCTCTGAACTGTCAGCACACAGCCCAACACGGGACTCGAACTCACAAACCGCGAGATTGTGACCTGAGCCAAAGTCGGACACTTAACCGACTGAGCCACCCAGGCGCCCCTTAATCTATCCTTAAATGTGAAAATTCATTAATCTGTCCTGCAACCCACACTTACAAGTACTATGTTGTAATGGACAACCTGGGGACCTGCTTGCTAGGCAATCACAATATTTATACTAACAAGTGGCCTTTGGTGAGTCTACCTGTTACATTGTAAGAATCAATCAAGATGGTGTTTGCTAAACATGCCACTGCAGATACCCTGTCTAATGGGTGAGATATATTTATGGCATCATGCTTTATTTTAAGATGCAGACTCAACTGCATTCTACTCTTTGATATATTCTACCCATAATATATCCATATTAGATAAATAGATCTACCCTTATGTTGGAATAGAAATAACTTAAAATTTTTTTTCTGCCTTCAAGTAACAAGGATAAAAATTAGAAGATGGGTTGTGCTTCCTTAGGTTTCAGAATACTCCTTGGGACTTGAGTATCCTATTTGAGAAGAATGAACTAAATTGATGTCCCCCCATCTCCCCCGTATATGTATATAGTTATATGTATATGTGTGTGGTGTATTTTTTTTTTTTTTTGAGTCTCTTTCTGGCTATGGTTGACTACCTAGCTTTGTAAAATTCTTAGACCTTCAAATGAGGTGATCTTCCATATTGCTACATTTTCTATGCTCACTCACCTTTATTTTAGTTCATCTATCAACTCACAAACATTTGAAATAAAGGGACGCCTTCTTATATCCATAAATCCCTGCAAAGTGTAACCCACAAAATATTATTTGGGTCAGGATGAAGAATTTACACTTGAAATTGAGTGGGGCTTGGAAAAGAAGCCTCAATTGTGGGAAGAAGAGCTGTCTCTTCTCTGTCCTTGACTACCCCACCCCTCAATTCCTACCCCATTTCGCCTTCCTCATTTCCCACGAGAGAAGGGATGGTCAAGAGACCTTCCCGGTGGTGGGTCTGCTCTCAGTAATAATAATAAAGCTCTTTTCAGTACCTGCAATTGGTCCCCTGGCAATGGTTACCAGGGTTCTTTAATTTTTTGATCTTTTTACCTGTCATTAGGCATGAGAGCTACGTGCTCCCTTGGACCAGCCAGTGTGACGCTGCAGTGCTGAGGCTTTGAGAGTCTTGGGCACAGTGTGCCCATTTAGTGACATTACCTGGGGTGTGGCATCAAAGCAGTTATTATGACTCAGGAGTCAGGAGAGAATCACCTTATGCTGACATCATGTCTTAGGGCGCCATGAAACACAAGAGCCGTTGGGCTATTGGTTGGAATGAAAGCAAAGTTAGGAACAAAATAGAAGGGGCCTCTTCTAGAAGATAGAATTGTAGGGTTTTTTTTTTATGTTTTTTAAATTTATTTCTGAGAAAGAGAGAGAGAGAGAGAAAAGAGAGAGGGAGAGAGGCAGCGTGAGCAGGGGAGGGTCAGAGAGAGAGGGAGACACAGAATCGGAAGCAGGGTCCAGGCTCTGAGCTGTCAGCATAGAGCCCGACGCGGGGCTCAAACCCACGGACCGCGAGATCATGACCTAGCTGAAGTCAGAGCGTTAACCGACTAAGCCTCCCAGGTGCCTCAGCCTCATAGTTTTAAGCGGCTTAGAATATAACTATAAGAATAACTACTAACTGATGAGGGAAACAAAGGCAAGAGACATGTAGCTTAAATTAAATTTCCTTACAGCTTGTGGCCCATGGAACGTGGGCATGAAACATGCAGAGCATGACCTTCCTCACAGACTCCTGGCTGCCTTAGTGTCTTAATGTGTATGTGCCATTGAAAACTAAAAGTAACCTCATCTCAATGGCAGCTAGCCCCGCAAGGTCCTGAGAGCCTTGCTTCACAATTCCTTACAAACTTACTTTATCTCTCTCCTCCCTCCCTCTAAATTTAAAAGTATACGATCAGTCACTCCTCACAACCCCAGTGCAGCAATTTCTGCCCACGGGTCCTGTCCCCGTGCTTATTAAAATGACCTGTTTGCACCAGAAACGTCTCAAGAATTCTTGGCCGTTTGCTTACAAACCCCACTTCATAATTTTGTTGTTAATGTCTCAACTCCATATGATGTTTTAGATGTTTTCTATATAATGTCGGCAGTGATCATAACAGCTCAGAAAAGTAGGTATTCTCAGTCCATTTTACAGAGGGGAAAGGGAGGCTCTGCAGAGCTGGGCAAGATTGCGTTCCTGGTGGGTACGGGCTGGGATTCGAAGGCGAGGCTAGCTGGCTGTAGCCCACCGGGGCTGCCCACCATTTGCGACAGCCGCCTACCACCAGTGATGCATCAGCTCATGGCTGGAGCGACTGCTGGGGCCAGAGAGACCCTGGCTAGAGACCCCTCTATCCCTGAATCTGTTATCTGACTAATGATTGTCTCTCTTGGTACTAATCTCTCTTTTCTTGTGTCTAAATTAGAGAGGAAGGGGCACATGGGTGGCTCAGTCGCTTGAGTGTCTGACTCCTGATTTCCGCTCAGGTCATGATCTTGCAGTTTGTGGGTTCGAGCCCCATGTAGGACTCTGCCCTGACAGCGCAGAGCCTGCTTGGGATTCTCTTTCTCCCCCCGCCTCTCTCTTTCTCTCAAAAATAAATAAATAAATATTAAAAAATAACAAATATTTTGGATAGAAATTGTACCCTGCCTCACTCATTCCCATGTTTAGAAAGCCCTTGCTCTGAGCTCGAGACGCATCATTTTGAAGAAAGGGCAAAATTACCCCCACAGTGGAGTAAAGAGAAGAGTATCGTTAGGGCAGTGTTTCTCAGCTGGGGACGGTCCTCTCCCTGTCACCCAGGGACATTGGCCAGGCCTGGAGACATTTTTGGTTGTCACAAATGGAGGAAGAGGTGCTACTGGCACCTAGTTGGCCAGAAATGCTGCTAAGCATCCTGCAATACCCAGGACTGCACCCCACACCTACCCCCCAAGGTTACCCAGGACTGCACCCTGCACACCTACCCCCCAAGGTTACCCAGGACTGCACCCCACACCTGCCCCCCAAGGTTACCCAGGACTGCACCCCATACCTACCCCCCAAGGTTACCCAGGACTGCACCCCACACCTGCCCCCCAAGGTTACCCAGGACTGCATCCCGCACACCTACCCCCCAAGGTTACCCAGGACTGCACCCCACACCTGCTCCCCAAGGATTGCCCAGGACTGCACCCCCCCCAAGGTTACCCAGGACTGCACCCCACACCTACCCCCCAAGGTTACCCAGGACTGCACCCTGCACCTACCCCCAAGGTTACCCAGCCCCGATGTCAGTGATACTCAGGTTGAGAAGCCTTGCTTTAGGAGGACGGTTGAGCAGGGAGGTTCGGAGCCCACGAGGCAGCTGACAGTGGTCCTGTACCCACTAGAGTGGGAAGAGGCAATGCTTGGTGGGTAATGGGTTGTTTTTCTCTTCACAGGTCCTTCATTTTGAAAATATCAAAGATGTCCCCTTTGGATTTCAAACAGTAACATCGGATGTAAACAAACTCAGTTCCTTTTATTCCCTGAAACTGATCAAACGGCTCTACGTGGACAAGTCTCTGAATCCTTCTACAGTAAGTGGGTTAAAGCAATTTGCACATTTCAGCTTTTTACCAGGAGTGGCACTTTTCACGTGGTTACACCCACCACGTTGTTTTCAGTGAAATCCACTTCTAAGATGCTCATATGTGATTTCAGGCTTATTAAAATAAATCAGTCCTAGTGGGGAGTGTGGGGGTCTCCTGATCAGATGGGGGGCACCAAATGTGGGGTGACCCCATCAGACGGAGGCTGGCCTGGGAGGGAGGTGAAAATTCATGGAGGCAGAACAAAGGAGATAGAAGTTGATTGATACACTGTAGGCAGGACAGCAAAGGAGAGACAGTGTTGGGGGGCTTACTTAAGGGGGTAGGTAAGGGGGTCCAAAAATGTATGGAATTTTCCTTTTTTTTTGATACCTGTGTGCTGGTGTAGGTAAGCCATTGAGTCAGCTAGGGCTTGTGGATATTTTGAGGTGGGTTTTTAAAAAGCAGAGCAAATGGCCTGGATGGACTTTTTAAGTTCTCTTTAAAGTTCCCCACTTCATTTGTTTATGCACACAGTATTCTCCTGATGTTCCTCAAATCAATGAGAAAAATGAATTAACGGTTTTCGTCAGTCACAAATTGGTTTTGTTTGTTTTACTTGGCTGGTCGTGTGGGTATCTATACAAGGTAGCTCTAGGTATTTAATTTCAGCTATTTCTTGAAGGAATCGTATAAAGTATACAGCAGTATCCTTAAATTTGATCCCAGAGTAGATCATAATATTTTTAAAGTCTGTATTTGAAACATGTAGCCAGCATCCTGGACTACTACATAAACCTTCCTTCTCTACTTTAGTAGTAAAGACTTGATTCAGTTTGTGATTGCCTGGTCAAAATTACAAGCTTTCCAAATCTAAAAGGTAGACTGCCAGTTAAATATTTTAGCATAGTTTTACTAATATCTAAAGTAGCTGTTTTTCTGGTTGAGATCTTTTGAGGACATGCATCACTAGATAATTGTTGTAACTTTATTCTTTTAAAGAATTTAATGTTTATTCATTTTTGAGGGAGAGAGAGAGAGAGACAGAGCGTGAATGAAAGAGGGGCAGAGAGACAGGGAGACACAGAGAGACACAGAATCTGAGGCAGGCTCCAGGCTGTGAGCTGTCAGCACAGAGCCTGACACAGGGCTTGAACTTGTGAACCTTGGGATCATGACCTGAGCTGAAATCGGATGCTTAACCGACGGAGCCACCCACACGCCCATGTTGTAACTTTTTTCTTACTGCTTGAAGACGTATATACACAGCCTTTTTTTTTTTTTTTCCCCAACACTCACCTAGAGAATTAAAAAAAAAAAAAATACTGAGATGTGAGCTGGGGTCTGAGCATGGAAACATTTTTGAAAGCTCCTTAGGTGGTCCTTAAGGGGATACTGAATACATTTTGTGCCAGCGGTGAGGACTGTGGAGGTGTCTTAATTCAGTGAGGCTCTGATCTCTGGGACGCCCCGTTCTCTCAGTCAATGGCAACACGCAGTCCCAAGGTTGGGCTACAGCTCACAGGTACAAAGTGGCTGAGGCTGTCTGCTCGGAAGAAATTCAGGGGGTCCTCTGTGCTTAGGACGTTTAATCAGATATGTTTCATTTGGTTGAACTTCCATTCAACATCTTGAATTATTTCAACCAAACTTGGAGTTGAAAGAACTTTTTTAAAAGACTGTTTAAAGAAAGTTTTAAAGTATAAAAAATGTTCAAGTGGATATCACTTGCAATGTACCAGTAACAGAATAAACAAGGGGGTGGGGGCGCTCACTTGCCTCAGAACTACTAGTGTGTTTGTGAAAAGTGCAAATTCCTGACCTCAGGTCACTCAATAGGGATGGGACTTGGGGTTTTGCATTTTTACCAGGCATATGCAATAGAATCCCCACCACGTTCTCTACAGGGCTGGGTTTCAAACTTAAATGTGGGAAGAATAATGGGGGGCGGAGGGGGGATCTTGTTAAAATGCATGTTCTGAGAGTCTGCATTTCTTTTTTTCAAAAAATTTTAAATGTTTACTTATTTTTGAGAGAGAGAGACAGAGCGCCAGAGGAAGGAGGGGCAGAGAGAGAGGGAGACACAGAATCTGAAGCAGGCTCCAGGCTCCTAGCTGTCAGCACAGAGCCCCATGCGGGGCTCAAACCCTTGAGATCATGACCTGAGCCAAAGTTGGATGTTTAATTGACTGAGCTACCCATATGCCCCAAGAATCTGCATTTTAGTGAGATTCCAGATGATACGGGGCTCTTGGTCCTTGAACCATACTTTCAGTGGCAAGAAATCTCTAGCGTCTGTGAATTTCAGTGCCTAGGAGTTTTCTGCTCACAGAGTTCTCTTTTCTGTACATTTCTTCTGTTCTAAGATATATCGATACATAAGTATAAAATATACATTTGAATTATTTCTGTTAGAATTCATATTATAATTGTTGTGGCGTAATGTTTCTTTCTTTCCTCCAAAGCTGCTGCTACATTGAGAGAGGCACTTAATAATAGGTAATTGTCTTAGAACTGGAGAAATGAAACACTTTATAAGAAGCACATTCATTGATTTCCACATGAAGTTTCCATTTACAGTATTTACAGATTTTGAAAGGGTACTCACCCACCTGGATATTTTACAAACCTTAATTTCGTTGGCATTGTGAGAGGACGCAGTGGTTTGACTACGGACTTTAGATGTTTTGTGATTTCATGAGCTGAATGTTTTTCAGGAGTTTGTCAGCTCTACGAAGAGACCCTATGCAAAGGAAATGGAAACCGTTGACTTCAAAGAGAAATTGGAGGAAACGAAAGGTCAGATCAACCAGTCCATCAAGGATCTCACTGACGGCAAGTGTCTTTTACTTACTTAGACCCTGTCTTCTCTTGACTCTTTCTGCTAAGCATAAAACTGAACATCTGGAGGCTCCCTTGGGTGTTTTCAGGAGACAGGCTAAATTCTTGCCCTTCCAGACATTTCAACCACGGGACTGCTGGGCGTGCCCCACATCATCTAACGATGGCAGGAATCACCAGTCCTTCAGGGCCGGTCCACCTCGCTGTACTCCCCAGGGTGCTGATGGGGGGGCCCCCGCTGGAGCCCCAGCCCTGTCTCTAACAGGCGGTGGCTCGGCTTCAGGCAAGTCACCGGCCAGTTTCTCAGTCTGGAGGTGAAGGGCTTGGGCTTTAACTTAATCCCTGCGGCCACCTTCAGCTCAAAAATTCTACAGATTTAAGGAAGAAAGGACAGAAGCTCCTAGGCAATCAAATACTTGTGCAGAAGGAACAAATCAAAGCAAACTGAGTAAGAACCTTGTGCTCAGATCCAGCTCCCCCAGTCGCCGTCTGCCCTCTGCTGGCCTCAGGGTCTCTTCCTCAGCTTCTGGCTGGTCCAACCCCTGGCTCAGTGCTGCCTTCCAGAACATACCCTCCCCGCCACCCCCGTCCACTGTGAGTCCCTGTGAGTCTTCCTCCTCGCTCGAAAGGAGCTGAGCTGAGTGTGAGTCCCAGGCAGGGCCCTGCCTCCCTGCCGGGGGCGTGTTTGTGTTGTACAGGGTGGACTTGCTGGGACAAGCACCTGAGTGTGAAGGACTGACGGCGCAGACGGACCTTGCGGGTGCCGCCGCTGCAGTCCTGGGAGGGACACGCTTCCGGGTAAGGGCGGCGGGAGACGCGCTTCCTGTGCGGGTGGCCAGAGGGTCCTTTCGAGGCACCGACTCGGGAATGACCGCAGCCCACGCTGTGACGGCAGAGTGAGGATGTGGAGGGAGCCTGGGCCGCTCAAGACCTGGATTCAAATTCAGACACTGCCACTTCTTCTTCTTCTTCTTTTTTTTTTTTAACAAATAGTTTATTGTCAAGTTGGTTTCCATATAACACCCAGTGCTCGTCCCCACAAGTCCCTCCTCCATGCCCATCACCTCCTTCCCCTCCCCCCGAACCCCATCTGCCTTCAGTTTTACTCGGCATTTAAGAGTCTCTCATGGTTTGCCTCTCTCCCTTTCCCCCACCATTTTTCCCCTTCTTCTCCCCCATGGTCCTCCGTCAAGTTCCTCCTAATCCTCCTATACGTGCAAACATATATTTGTCCTTCTCTGCCTGACTTATTTCGCTCAGCATCACACCCTCAAGGTCCATCCATGTTGCTACACAGGCCAGATTTCATGGTTTCTCATTGCCACGTAGTATTCCATGGTATAGATAAACCACATCTTCTTGATCCATTCATCTGTTGATGGACACTTAGGTTCTTTCCATGTTTTGGCTGTTGTGGAGAGTGCTGCTATGAACACTGGGGTACATGTGCCCCTATGCATCAGCACTCCTGTGTCCCTTGGGTAAATTCCCAGCAGTGCTATTGCTGGGCCATAGGGGAGTTCTACTGTTAATTTTTTGAGGAACCTCCACACTGTTTTCCAGAGGGGCTGTACCAGTTTACATTCCCACCAACAGGGTAGGAGGGTGCCCGTTTCTCCACATCCTCGCCAGCATCTAGAGTTCTCTGATTTGCTCATTTTAGCCACTCTGACTGGCGTGAGGTGGTATCTCAGTGTGGTTTTGATTTGTATTTCCCTGATGAGGAGGGATGCTGAGCATCGTTTCATGTGTCTGTTGGCCATCTGGATGTCCTCTTTGGAGAAGTGTCTGTTCGTATCTTCTGCCCATTTCTTTACTGGGTTGTTTGTTTTTCGGGTGTGGAGTTTGGTGAGTTCCTTACAGATTTTGGATATTAACCCTTTGTCTGATATGTCATTTGCAACTATCTTTTCCCATTCTGTTGGTTGCCTATTAGTTTTGTGGATTGTTTCCTTTGCCGCAGGCACTGCCACTTTTAACTGAGTTACTTGGATAGGGAACCTCACTTTACTGAACTGTAAAATGGGGCATATGTTACCTCATTAAGTTTTACAGGGATGTTGTGAGGATCAAGCTAGATAACACAGACTAACAAATAATGTATGATAGTGAAGATAATATATGGCAGCCATAGCTATGCATGCCAATGCATGAATATACATACATATATGTCATTGAAATGGCCTTCTTTGACTTCATATGTAAAGAAAAAACTGGTGTAAGTAACACGAGACTAAGCACAATTTAAAATTTTATAAACAAAATGAGGCTCCATTTAAATCGCTGTGTAATTGCTTTGCTTCTAGAATTGCCATATAATTGTATTTTGTGCTACAAGGACCTTTAAAACTTCCTTACAAATTTCAAGTTTTTATGGCAGAAGGTAGCTTAGTGTAAAGTCCTCTGAGTTTAGAATCGGAAATGAGGTTTTAGTTGAAATGACCACCTACTAGCTCCCTTTCTTCTCTGGGCTTTAAGTTCCTTCCTTGGCATGATTACGGATTCAGCACATCATGTAACATTGGCAGGACTGAAAATGCAGGACCCCTTATTAAAAAAGGTATTAGGCGTTTTAAGGTGGTGACAGGGGCGCATCGAGCCAGTACGGGGTCCTGCACGCACACGGCCACAGGTCCACGGAGTGGGTCCTGAGCGGAGATGTGACAATCCGAGGGGTTAGGTCAATGAAATTCCCTCTCAAAACATGTCAGTACTATTCCAATGTGAGGACTTCGTTTTAGGAAGGCATTATCACTCCTGAACTGTGGTGGCTGTGGGGAGCTTGATCTCTGCAGTAATTACAGTGCTGACCTTGACACAAAGAAGTGTCTGCAACAATGTAATCTTTGCATGGGGGAGGGGGGTGGAGGGGAGGGGAGGGAGGGGAGAGGGCATGCCAAGCTGTTTGGTGAAGAGTGCAGCTTGGTCCTATACAGATCTGCTTTCCAGCTTCATGAACAGGGTGGCTGCTCGGCCTCTCTGAGTCCCAGTTTCCTCAAGTATAAAATGGGGGTAATGATCTTGGCCTTACCGTGAAAAGGCTAAAATTACACTTGTGCATTTTCATTCCAGAGCACAGGCATTGGAGTCCGAGAGACTCAGCTTTGAATCCCGAATCCCTCCTTGCTCATGTGTCGTCATGGGCAAGTGACTCAACACCAAGTCTCAGCTTCCTCATCCGTCGAATGGGGAAAAATACATGATACCGTGCATAGGAAATATCTAGCACAGTGCCGAACACAAGGGGTTCAACAGTGGTAGCTCATGTTTTTCTTCCTGTTCTTCCTCTCTTCTCCCCACCTTCTCCTCTGCTTTCTGCCCACCCCACCCCTGCCCCCAGATCTCTTTGGTAAGTCTTCTTGTAGCAAGATGGAAGGAGAGAACCTTATGCGGCGGTCTGGGAGATCGAAACTTGCTTGGGCATCTCCAGCCGTGATTAATTCCCCGGGGAGCGGATGAGTGTGTGGATACCAGATGTGGTTTTGAAGAATAACCCCGTGCCCTCTGTGGTTTCCTACCATTGTTTGCAGGCCGCTTTGAGAACATTTTGTCTGACAGCAGTGTCAGTGACCAGACCAAAATCCTTGTGGTTAATGCTGCCTACTTCATTGGAAAGTGGATGAAGAAATTTCCTGAATCCGAAACCAAAGAATGCCCTTTCAGAATCAACAAGGTATGTAAGGCCGCATGTCAAAGGCTCCCAAGTATAGATCTGAAAAATTATGGACAATTGAGGCATAGGAGGTAGCACGTCTTTCCTGAGACTAGTGGCTGGGAGGTGAGCCGTAGACAAAGAACCGCAATCCACTCTTTTCCAGAATGGTTAGATTGTTTCACTGCTGGTGGGCTCTCCTCTCTGGGGAGGGCTGGCACAGAGAGTTACTAAGGATTTGAAATGTCACCGATCTTTCAGTGTCGCATCTAACCAAGCAATAAAACGCTGCTCAAAGCTGTGTGGGGATCGCCCTCCCTTTGAATGCAGATTTTTCCATTGTTTCTTTTGCATTACTTTTGCCAACCTCTGAACTTTTTCACAGCTGTTACTAAACCTTTCCTCTCTTCCCACAGTGTCTTCTTTAAGGATGGACCAAATTGAGGAAGTTATATTATTATTAAAGGTTTAATATAGTGCCTGTTCGGACAAGGTGAACACAGACACACACACATTTTTTTTGGAAGAGTCTGTATTTGGTCATGTGTTCAGAAGATATGTCTCTCGATTTATATTTCAGAAAACGGAATTACTGCTGATAAATGAAATAGACGCCTGTATTTGGTGGCCACAACTATATGCAAATTCATATGACGAGCACTCTAACTTGATGGAGAGTTTTAGACAAATCTGGAGCTTCTTTAAGAGAAATAAATGGAATAATTAGCAGTAAATTTCAAAAGTAGTGTTTTTCTATCCTAATTCTATTTCTGGTTGTACACAGAAAGGAAGTCTTTAATTGTTTATCGACCAGATATTTAGTGAGCAACTACTATGTGCTGGGATGTATCAAGATAATAAGAAATAGTTTCTGCTTCGACTGTAGTCTAGTTAGCGTGGGGGGTGGGCAGTCATATAAGTAAATATTTCTAACCATGTGACAGGTATTGAAATAGAAGTATTACAAAAAGTAAAATAAGTACAGTTTCGCTCTGCTTGAGAGAGGTGTTGGGGGAAATTCAGTTTACTGTTTGAAGATCCCAGATAAAAGTTTTACTGAACTATTATCCCCCTGGCCTGATATGAAGTTTAAAATCCCCTAAAAGAGATCCAGTTAACAGGCAAATGTCCCGTGGGAGATATATATTGAAATAATAATTACAGTAAATTACTGTCAGTCTCTTACTCTTTAGTATGAGCTAATTTTCCTTCAGAAAATCAGTCATCTAAGTAGCAGAGACACAGTCAGATATTGATGGAGACAGAGCATAGGAAGGGTTCAGGATGCTGCCTGGAGAGAAAAGCCTGAGCACTAAGACTCTTTTGGTGGAGTGTAGAATGCATTGAACTAGAAGTGACTTAAGAGAGAATTTGGTTACTTAATATTCTCATTAAAAATATTATGCGGTATTTTAAGCATATAGAAAATAATAAAACAAACACCAATGTATCCAACAGTAAATTCTGTTAGGAAAAGCTGCCTAAGTAGATATGTGCGTTGCACTCGATTTTACTTTCAAAAGTTCACGAGTTTAAAGAGCTCGTGATTACGAGCATCTAGAAAGATGAAGTCAAAGTTTGCCTATGTTTTCAGCCCTACTCTCTTATTTTCAATATTTTGTATAAGTAAGTACCGTGTTACGTGTAGGTCCTGAACAATATTGGAATTATAAGGTACATGAAAAACTTTTCAGAGGAAGTCATTAGCTCTTCAGGGGACAGTCTGTGATGGTTTGGGTCCGGTACAGTTGGGATCCCAGCAGATGGATTACACTGTAATGGTCTGAAACTATAACAGGAACAAACGTGTGTGTGTGTGTGTGTGTGTGTGTGTGTGTGTGTGTGTGTGTTTATGCTTGTGTAAATTGAAAAGCAAGTGATCCAGACTTCTTCACCTCTTACAGACGGACACCAAACCAGTGCAGATGATGAATATGGAAGCCACGTTCTGTATGGGCAACGTTGATGGTATTAATTGCAAGATCATAGAGCTTCCCTTTCAAAACAAACACCTCAGCATGTTCATTCTGCTCCCCAAGGATGTGGAGGATGAGTCCACGGGCCTGGAGAAGGTGAGGAGGGACGCGGGTGTGCAACACAAAAGTGCTGCCTAGTGTGACAAGGAGACGTGCAGATGGCACTGTGTGTGGTGGTGACACTGCTCTGCCATCCACGTCACTTGCTCAGTCATCTTTGAGGGTTTCGTGGTCCTTTCTGGGCCTTTGTCTTTAGTATTAAAATAGCCAACACGTAGTTGGCACTTGTGATGAGCCCGCGCTGCAAGGTCCCCATGGACGCCCTCTCCTTGACGTCTCACAACAGGCCTGTCTATCTATTAGAAGCTACCACTGTGCTCTTGTTGGGTGAGGGACGTGAGGCACAGCGGGGGAGGTGACCGGCCTATGGTCACATAACTCATCCGTGGCGTGTAGGACCAGAATTTGAGCCCAGGGAGTTGGAATCTGTGTTCTTCATCCAGGCTCAGGTGCCTCTGCATCCGTGTGTTACATTTGTTACTACTGATGAGCTGGTTGACCAGGCGTTATTCAGAAAGTCTGCAGTCTGCTGTCTGGTTCACTTTGTGTTGTACATTCTACGGGCCTTGAAAACCCCTTTTAAAGCATAGACGTATGTGAGGTTTTATTATGCTTCCTCCTTTGTGGACGTTATTAGAGGCACGAGGTGTAAATAACAGTAGAGGTTCCTCTGCTTCGGAAGGATGCTTTAGCTCCCCCTCTGCTCTGCGGCCCCGTCCAGCCTGGGTCCCCTGCTCCCCCGTCAACCCCCGCCTTGGCCCTGCCTTCCCAGCTCCCCTCCACTGGGGCCTCGGCCCTTGGCCAGGGAGAAGGATGGGCTCTTTGAGGACCCCAGAAGTCACCTGCTTCATTTCCAGTCATGCCTCAGTTCCTCCCTGGCTTTTCAGGGGAGGGTCTAAGTCCGTCTCCATCCTACCTGCTGCTTTAATGTTCATTATGCTTTATCCATCACTGGCCTTTGTTATTCTTTTTCTTTAAGGTCTATTTATTTATTTATTTAGAGCTTGAGCAGGGGAGGGGCAGAGAGAGGGAGACAGAGAATCCCAAGCCCTGATGAGGGGCTCAAACCCATGATCAAACCATGAGATCATGACCTGAGCCAAAATCAAGAGTCGGACGCTCAATGGATTGAGCCGCCCAGGTGCCCCTGGCCTTCACTATTCTTTTATTCACTGCACTCTCTCTTTTTCACTCCACTCCATGCCCTGTCTCCTCTGTTATTCAACTGTCTTGCATTTTACCATACTTACATGAAAGACCCTCACACCAATTTTTTTTTTCCTAATTAAAGTACAGAATGGAAGAAACTGATCTCTTGAGTCTCAGAGAAATTCAAGAATACCCATAGTGTTCTTCTCCTGGGGCCACCATAATAAAGTACTACAAGCTGAGTGGCTTACACAAGAATTTAGTCTCTCACAGTTCCAGAGGCTAGAAATCTGAGCTCCGGGTGTTAGTTCCTGCTGAGGGTTGTGAGGGGGACTCTGTTCTATGCCTGCCTCCCTACCCTCCGTCCCCCAGCTTCTGAGACTAGCCGGCAATCTTTGGTGTTCCTTGGCTTATAGATGCGTCACTTCAATCTCTGCCTCTGTCTTCACATAGCTTTCTCCCTGTATGCGTGTGTGTCTGTGTCCAAAGTTTTCTTTTTTATAAGGATACCAGTCATGTTAGGTTAGGGCCCATCCTAATGACTTCATCTTAAGTAACGATACCTATAGGGATTCTGTTTCCCCATAAGGTCACGTTCTAAGGCACTGGGAGTTAGGACTTCAACATAAACATTTATTTTTTTGTGGGAGGAAATACAATTTGACCCATAACACATATATAATGGAGGGGGAAAAAAAGCTTTTTATTTTTCCTTCTGAGGAGTCTTTTTGAGTTATGGATGAATTTTCTTCCCTCTCTTCATTCTCAGATAATAAACGGGCAAACGAATATACCTTTTGGCCCCAAAATTCGAGTTCCTTCTGGCAAGCTTTTGGTTCTAATAATTCGTCATAAACGAAAACAGTAGTCATTGAGTACATGATTATCATAGATGAACAAGAGAATCCAGTGGTACCCCGTCCCACTAAAAACAAAGCAAACAGACTTGCGACCAGTCTGTGATGCTGCCATGTTACTGATTTTGACGGGCATCACGTGAACAACTTCAGTTCGGGGCTGTCTCATGATAATAACTGTCAAGGTACTACTCTTCCCTGTTCACATGTTTCTTCTCCAGCCAGTGGGGAGTTGGGAGGGCAAGGGGCAACTGAAGATTTGCTCAGTGAAGAATTTTCTGACTGAACCATTTCACGTGTCATTCCATATCTCTCACTCTTAAAATAACCAACTGAAATCGATTTATTCATCACCCCCGGTCTTAGCGAATGACCCTAGACAGTTTAAATTCCCATTTAAGAAAAAAGTAATGTTAGATTTGATTGGAGTTACTTTTGATGCCAGGCCAAGTACCTGAATATTCTGGGTTTCCTAGAAGAGAAATTAAAACACGCATTCAAGCAATAGGATGTATAAAACGCTCCTGATTTCATGTTTGTTTTACTGTTATTTATGCAACGTCATCAGCCACGCATTCATTCCTACTCTAGAGCTTGGAAGAAATAGCCTGAGACATTTCGGTGCAAGGGGACCACAGTGGGGGCATGGAGGGGAGGAGTGCACTGCCGGTGGCCGGGGCATCATTGATATGGGAAGCCAGTCCCACACCCAAACTGCAGGGCTGATTCCATTTCTGGTAGCCCATCTGCACTGTTTCAGAACAGGACTCGCAATGGGACTCGCAATTTCCATTGTTAATCAAGCAGGATCTTTCCCATCTGGGGATACAAAAATAATTTCCTCTCCTTATGGTCCTTCAGGTTGAACAACAACTCAACTCAGAGACGCTCTTGCAGTGGACTAATCCCAGCACCATGGCGAACGCCAAAGTCAAACTCTCCATTCCAAAATTTAAGGTGGAAAAGATTGTTGATCCCAAAGCTAGTCTGGAAAATCTAGGGCTGAAAAATGTCTTTAATGAGGATACATCTGATTTCTCTGGAATGTCAGAGACCAAGGGAGTGGCCCTCTCCAATGTTGTTCACAGAACGTACTTAGAAATAACTGAAGATGGCGGGGATTCCATAGAGGTGCCAGGGTCACGAATCCTACAGCACAAGGATGAGTTCAATGCCGACCACCCTTTTATTTACATCGTCAGGCACAACAAAACGCGAAACATCATTTTCTTTGGCAAGTTCTGTTCTCCGTAAGTGGCAAAACCCAGGTTAAGTCCCACCCGACTTTCCTGTAAACTCTGCATCCAAAGAATCACTTTATAAATACAATAAATTGTTAATATTGCTGGATCGGGAAGCAGCTGGTACTTGACACGTGTAGCCCTCATGCTAACAGACCCTTCTTTCCCAATTCTTTCTTTTGTTCTCCCTCCACCTCCTCCCCATAAAACACAAAGCTTTTAATGAAAAGGAGTTACTTTGGAGGAAACAGATGTTTTCATTATCTGTCAGAATGCCTCAGGTAATTGGCAGGAATATAGTCTTCCACAAAGAAAATCCCTGGTGGTGGATCTGGAGGGTTTTAGAGCTTCACCTTTCCTTCACTGGGATACAGAATGTTCCAGACTAAAGAAAGTGGTACATGGGATCCCCAAAACTTTCCCGGTTTCACCGAAACTTGGGCACACGTTCAGGCTACCGTCGGTCTACAGCTCCTTATGCTAAACCGTGGTACCAGTGTTTTCTTCCAATGCTGACTTTTTGGGATTTTAGAAAGCTAACATGTTGCACGTACTATATGCGATGGAACTCCACTGGTAGAGTCTGGGACAGCACCCTGTAAATCAACACCTTAATGTTTCTGCCACAACACACAATATTCACACAAACTGGCTAGACAGACTCTGAACAGCCTGAAAGTATCAGGTTTTGCCTCCAAACGAGTGGGCCAGCCGCTTATGAAAAAAACTTTGTTTTCAGAACTTTTGAAATTTTGGAACGCTGGAGAAGGGATTGCAGAACTGTAGTAGCTGAAGTGCAGCACCTCGAGGGGAGGTGGGATTTTACTAAAAGTCCACTTTCATTTTAGGCAGAACACCCAGCCGGTCACTTGGTTGATGGGAGACCAGTGACTGGTGGTGAAGGCTGAGTCGGCAAGGCTTTGGGTGTCTGACAACCAGGGCTTCAAGCACGCGGGGACTTGTAAGGAAGCCAGTGAGAGAGTAAGGAACTTGTCTCCTTGTCTGACGTGATAGTGGGAAGGGGAAAGGAGCTAATGCCTTTGGGAAATAGAACTAAAGCAATCGAGGGGCGCCTGGGTGGCTCAGTCGGTTGAGCGTCCGGCTTCAGCTCAGGTCATGATCTCACGGTTCGTGGGTTCGAGCCCTGCATGGGGCTCTGTGCTGACAGCTAGCTCAGAGCCTGGAGCCTGTTTCAGATTCTGTGCCTCCCTCTCTCTCTGATCCTCCCCTGCTCATGCTGTCTCTATCTCTCTCTCAAAAATAAATAAAATATTTAAAAAAAAAAGAACTAAAGCAATTGACTGCTCTTGCTGCCGCGACATGCATGCTTCCAGACTGAGGGTTTAGCTGCTAGCTAGGCAGTAACATCCATTGACATGATTCGTGAAGGTGGTCTGTCCAGTAATCTAGGCTGCACATACATGGATTAATGCGCTAGCAAAAGAGTGCATTTACCGAAGGTTTCATGAAATTCCTTCACCCGTCTCTTCTCTGGCATTCACTGTAAACAGGTTCAACTTTCTTCCTGCTCCCAAGGTTCAATATTGAATTTCTTGGATGCTACGGACAATAAAATATTATTGAACTAGGTGTCTTGTTTTTTTCCATGACATCAAGTTTCCTATTTTGAAATAGAGCTGAGCCAGCATTTACGAAAGCATTCCCATATGTAAGTGCTTTTCGAGGGGACTGATGTAGAATAAAAAGGAAGAAGAATATGACTGCCCTGTTCCTTGTCTTCTTTTCTTCCTGCTCACCAGGCTTGCTTTCTCTCTAATCCCTTACATTGTGGGTGGGGGGAGGTGAGGGAGGAGCCGGGGGGTTCCGGGATGACTTTCCCCCGTGTGAACGCGTGCAGTGATATGAGAGGCATGGGAACAGGACACGGAGCTTTTCTCCTGCAGTGTGTCCTTAAGGCCCAGCCTCAAAATCTAATTTTATTTATTTCTTCTTCTCTTTTTTAATGTCTACTTATTTATTTTGAGAGAGAGAGAGAAAGAGAGAGAGAGAGAATCTGAGAGCGCTCATGTGCATGGAGAAGGGGCAGAGAGAGAGAGAGAGAGAATCCCAAGCAGGATCCAACATGGGGCTCAATCCCACGGACCTGGATCATGATCTGAGGCGAAATCAAGAGTTGGACGCTAAACTGACTGGGCCACCCAGACACCCCTCAAAATCTAGTTTTATTAAGTAAGCTGTATCTACTCAAAATATTTGTTATGAAGTACATTTTTTTTCTTAATGTACCTTTGTTTTCAGTCAGTTGCAGTGTCCCTGAACCTAACCTCCAACACAGCCCTTTTCCTGAACCTGCGCTGTGCTCACATAGAACGTGGCCCCTCCTGCGATAATTGTTGAGCACGAACAGTGAAAAATGCTTCCCAATCTCCCCCCCGAAAGAAAGAGCCATTTGTGCAGGGTTGCTGGGGTGGGTGGTGTCCAAAGCAGGGTTTCACTCTTGGCTCATCACCCCCTCTAGGCTATGAAACAAAGTATGGGATAATCGAGAAAGGTGTAGTGAGCATTTAGAGGAGGGAAGGGATTAACGCCTCTTGAAGCCGAGTGTTCAGGGAGCTTAAAACATCTCCTGGAGAGACGGAGCACAAGCAGGGGAGGGGCAGAGAGGGAGGGAGACACAGAATCCGGAGCAGGCTCCCGGCTCTGAGCTGTCAGCACAGAGCTCCATGTGGGGCTTGAACTCATGAACTGCGAGATCACGATCTGAGCTGAAGTCGGATGCTCAACCGACTGAGTGGCCCAGGAGCCCCAGAAAGCACCAAAACTTTTGATTAGCTCTTGCCTGGGATGATCCAATCCAGAGATTTCCATCTAGGGGCAGTTCTGTCCCCTTGGGGACATTTTGTTGTCATAACTAGGGTGGGGTGCTGCTGGCATCTAGTGGGTAAAGACCAAGAATTCTCAATATTCTACCCAGAGCTCTGGATGCCCAGAACATCCCAGAGCACAGAATGGCCCGCACGGAACCCTGCTGAAGGTGATGCAGTGGGGACCCTATCTAAGGCCCAGAGGCTGGGGAGGTCCCTTGGGCAGAGCAGGGAGAAGGCAGTGGTGGGGGCATGCAGGGGGGTGCCTGTGCTCGGCTGCAGTGACGTGTGCAGGGGCCACGCTGGACTATTTTAAGACTCTGCTCAAAAGGTCTGCCCAGTGAGGGTGTGCAGTCTCCAAGGAGCCCATGAGAGCGTCCCGTGAGAGAGAGTCAGCCTTTGGCACCTCTCGCCCTCGAGTCCACCTGCACCAGCGAGGCAGGGCCTTCCCTTCTTGGCCCCCCTTCCCTCTCCTTCTTCCGCTCGCCCCACCAGTTGGGTATTATAAGGAGCAGGAGAAGGGGGGGGGAGTGGTGGGGAAGCCCACCTCCGCTTCTGTCCCCTGTGGGCTAATGGTGCAGACTGTGGCGGAGGGAGAATCTGAAGTTCTGATTTGGCAGAATTCTTTGCTTTTTCATTTCTGAAAATGTCTTTATTAATACATTAATACATGCAGAGGACGACGTGGCAGCGTGGCCTTGAGAGGGCGTCGGAAAGGAAGTGGTAAGTCCCTGGTTCACCAATAAACCAGTTACCAGAATATTATCTCATTTAATCATGACAACAAATGTATGAGGAGGAAAGCACAATCCCATCTTATAAGTGAAGATACTGAGACATGGAACAGATACATGATCAGGGCAAGGGCACAGAGCTGATGAAAGCCGATGGCCAGATTTGAACTCCTGCAGATCGAGCCCAGAGGGAGACCTCTGACCTCGCTGCCACCATCTTCCACCTGGCACTGGCCCCTGACGAGCAGCCATTGCAGGTGCCTGGAAGAATTCCTCCCTCCTCTGGACCTTCTCTACTTTGGAATTCTCAGAGGTTTGTCTTATCCCGCCGTCTTTTTCTGCCAGTCCCAATGTGCTTGGTGTAACCAGCTCGGTTAGGTACATCGATCTTCTCTTTTTAAAAAAAAAAATGTTTTTTAATGTGTATTTATTTTTGAGAAAGAGAGAGAGACAGAGCACGAGCAAGGGAGGGAGGGGCAGAGAGAGAGAGGGAGACACAGAATCTGAAACAGCTCCAGGCCCCATGCTGTGAGCGCAGAGCCTGATGTGGGGCTCAAACTCACTAACCAAGAGATCATGACCTGAGCCAAAGGCTTTACCTGAGGCTTAACCGACTGAGCCACCCAGCCGCCCCAGGTACATTGATCTACGGGCCGGGTGTCGTACGTGAAAGTCTTCATGGGTGTTACTCCATTTGCTTATTCTCACAATAACCCTAGAGTTGGGCGCTGTGCCCATATATTTCGGGAGGAAATACGGGCTCAGAGGAAGGGGGTAAAGCATCCAAACCAGAGAATGTCTGCGGCTCAGTCTGGCCCCAGAGCCTATACTCCTTTCGTTGTGACCTACGGCGCTTGGACCAGGCACTGGGGCGGCCTCCCCGTGGATGGCTCTGCATTAACTCATGTACCACACGGGACCTCTGGCCACTCAATGTTGCCAAAGCAATGCCTGCCTCTTGTCCTTTAAGAAAACAGAAGAAAACAAGACTCTGTGGTTGGTCCCCGTGCTGGTCCTCACCAGGACAGCAGGAGCACCTGTCTCCTGCCCCGCAGGGCTGTCTGCTGCCATCTGTCCGCTGGGCGCAGAAGGCAGTGGGCAGGAGAGGGCATGTCAGAAGGGCCTGGAGCCTTAGTCCACATGTGGAAAGACAGAGAGAGGGCAGGGGCCGCACAGGGAAGAAACAGACGCTCACTGGTGCCATAAGGAACATGAAGTGTTGCACGCGAGGCTCAGAGGGGACGCGGAACCAGAAGGAAACAGCGAGAGCCCCGATGGAGACTGGCCAGATAGTGGGTCCCGGCGCCAGGGGGCCTAATGATGTCTGTGCCCAGGGCGGCGGGGCTGACCCAGGGCTGCCTTGCAATGGCCGTGTATACAGAGGGCACACAAAAATGTAACTTACAGGGGCCCCTGGGTGGCTCGGTTGATTAAGTGTTCAACTCTTGATTTGTGCTCAAGTCATGATCTCATGGTCCTGGGATCAAGCCCTCCATCAGGCTCTGCACTGGTTCCCAAGTGAAGCCTGTTTGGGATTCCCTCTCT